TGGCCCTCATATGTGGGATCTGAACCGGGGACCTCTGGCGTCCCAAGCCAGTTCTTAACCATTGCGCTACTCGGCCGGCCCTAGAGGCATTCATTTTTATGTTCCTGTCTCTGGTCGGGGATCAGCCCGTCTGGGATCAGTTCCCGAGCGAGGCCCATCAGACCAGGCTGCTCACCTGGCCTCTGCCCCAGCCTTTCCCTGGCTTCCCTGGGTCTTCTGGGCACTTCAGTGGTTAACGTGAAGCCCTAGCTGTTCTGGTGAAGGGGTTGGGGTGAGAGAGGGGCACTGGCTGAGTCTGGGCTGCCCGGCCCGGGGCTATGTGTTGCAGGCTGTAGTGTGGCTCAGTCACACACACCCTGTGGGATCGAGTATTCCTCAAAAAGTGAGCCTTCATTCATGTCTGTTAAGTGGGAATGCAGCCACAACTATGTCCTCGGGGCAAGGACCAGTGGTGAAGCCACCATACTTCTGGGGTGACCACAGGGCAAATAATGTTCAGACATCATTTCCTTTGACTAATCTTCTGTAATCCTGGACCAGATGTGGCTCCTGGAAGTAAAGTTCTTTGTCTAAGTTAAGATTTTTAATTTAGGACCCAGATGGGGTAGGAGGGAAACTTCCAAAAGGGCTGTTTTACTCAGTGTGTCACTGTCCTGGACTCCTGGCAGGCAGCAGTTTCATGAGAAAAGCAGATTTCGTCGTGACTCATCTGCCTCGTTCAGTGAGACGTGTGATATAACTTCTCAGTACTCACGCACGCTGTCGTCTCGCTGGACAGAGCAGAGGGTACACTGTCCATTCGGCAGCAGAGGTGGCTACAGGACCTGGCCCGTGCCATGGAAAACCTTGAGAGACGGTCTGCTATGGGGCCAGAGCTTTGTCCTGGAATTTCCTGGCCTTTGTCTGTGTAACTTCATATACCCAGATGCCTGTTTTTAGAGTCTACTTCCTTCTAGGGGAAGAGAGCGCCTGCCTTCCACAGCGCTTCCTGTACCAAACCATCTCCTCCCGCTGTAGGTTGGGAATCAGGGAAGCACTCTGGGCAGGTGTGTGTACCTGGCTCCCAATTGACAGTACGCTCCTAGAAGTCACTGGCCACAGAGGAGAAGCCCTTACCATCTGCCACCCCGGCCCGTTCACCCTAACCCTTGTTTCTTTCTCACATCGCAGCAGAAAAAGTCCTACCTGGAGCGGAGCGTGAAGGAAGCTGAGGACAATATCCGGGAGATGCTGATGGCACGAAGGGCACAGTAGGAAGCCTCTAGGGGAAGCTTTTCCTCCTGACTCCTCCCATTCCTGGCAAGGGCAAGAGGCCTGTGCAGGGAAGTGGCCTCGGCTCTGCCCTGATGGACATTCTATCTCGATGGTCTGGTAACCCTACATGTTCTCTAATCACCCTGAGCCCCTTTCAGATTCTAACCCTCTATTTTATATCCTGGCTCTGCTTGCCACCCGTGCCCAGGACGATCCTCTCCCCTGGGGGTGTCTTAAACTCCCAGGAGAGGGAAGATGGGAGCCGATTAGGGGAGCTCTGCCCAAGCCCCCTAACGAGCCATGCTGCTCAGACCAATAAAAGGCATCTGTGCCACTCTAAGTCTGCTGTGGTTGAGCCGACGGATGAGAACAGACGGCCAGAGGGGCAGAAGCTGTTCCCACCTCAGCTCCTCCCTGTCCTGCTCCTGCATCGAAGCCTTCCCCTCTCCTTTTCCCCCTTTCTGTTCCTTCAAGTAAACCTCTCAGCCTCAGGGCCTCCATGTGTAATGTGCAGATCAGGAAGAAAGGAGACCAGGGCAGTCTGCCTCAAGATTCCTTTCCCGCTTCCTCCCAAACATTCCAAAAGAAAATTCACTGATGAGCCAGCAGCACCTCCAGGACTGGCTCCCAGTGGCCAGTGTCATCAGGTGGACACTACAATCCTGAGGCCTCCTAGAGGCTGGGGGGCAGTAGTGCTACAGCTGGCTTCAATATGTAGGGATTTCGTTGCAAGCCAAATGTTCAACAGCCATTATTAAAATTAAATTATGTAACTTTACGATTAAATCATTAAAAACAAGGGTGATAGATATTTAAACTTCACCCCTTCATAATTACTAAATCTGGCCATGATCTATGTTTTTGAGGTTAACAGTCTTGTATTGGATGGTGGAAATACCGCATAATGGGGCCTTCCCAACATTCAGGACATCATGGTAGCTTGAAATCAGCTGTGGAGGGACTAGTTACTCCACAGAAATCAGGTGATGCTACAAAATCACGGCTTTTTGTTTGTTTTTAAAGAGAGAGCTGGCAGTTAACTATCTGCAGCCTCTCTGGACTGGCAGGGCAGGCGGTGAGGGGAAGTCTGACTCGCTGCTGTGGCAGCTCAGCGCCACCCTGTGGCCCAAGCTGAGATGACAGCTCTTTTCTCTTGTGTGTATCGAGGGGGTGAGGGTGTTGGGCAGAGATAGCAGGAAAAGAAAGCTTTGGGTCTGGCCTCACGCTGACTTTGGGTTCCCGCTCTCCTTCCAGGGCAGGCCTGGGCAGCCCACGGTTACCAGGAGGCCCTTTCCTAGGCTCTGGGTAAAATCAGGTGTGGCTCCTTGGTGAGCCCATCTCTGAGTGGCATTAGGGAGATGCTAGCTTAGCGAGGGCCCCATGACTTGGCTGAAGGACACCCCGCCTCGGGTCCTACTTTCCCAATAGCACGCACAGTACTTATGTAGCAGCCAGACGAAAAGGTAAATGGACCCCTCATCATATACTGGACAGTGGCCGCTAGCTGAGGTCCCCAGGGCTTAGATTTCATATGGAATAATTCAGACAGTTGAGGTTTAGACAAATTTATTGAAACATCCAGGGCGTTAGCAAAGAAATCATTCAATGATATGTTACATTATGCCACTACCTTGAATGTATCATTTAAAAATTATAAATATATATTTCATAAGCCTTTGGCCAAAAAAAAAGCAAAAGGAGTGTCATTTAGCACATTTGTGAAAGGCCAATAAGAACTGGATTTCGAGCATTAGAAAGATCAAGTCACTGAATTAAACAATAGCAACCCCTACTAATCTAGAACCCCATGGTATTGAAGGTAGACGTGTCTGTGCAGAGCTAGTCATTTATTTCAGCAATCAGAAGAGATGGGGTGGGCACTCCTGAGGTGGCAGCAGAGCTGGCAGGACAGCAGGGGCGGGCTGGTCAGGTGAGCATGTCCCAGAGGCAACAGCAACAGAGGGCAGTCCAGCAGGCTGTGAGGCAGGTGCTTGGGCCCAAGTCATCCCTTCTTTGGTCTTCCACGACATACACTGGAGGAGAGAAAGGGTGAGAGTGAACTGGCACAAGCCCTGGGCCCTACAGAGCCCCTGCCTCCCAGACCAAGGGAGGGCTGTGTCCCCGAAAGCCCCCAGGGATGGGTGCAGCCTTTCTGCCTGCAGACGTGAATGGAGGACGGCCGCTGAGCTCCTCAGCTGCTTTCCCTGTCCCTCCTATGGACACTCGTCCCTAGGAAACCTGGAGAGCCGCCTCGCACCAAGGCAGCCAGTTAGGTAAGGAGTGCCCATTGCTGTCTGACCAACCAGGCAGCACTATGTCCCGGACCCTATAGAGAACTGGGTGGGGACATTTTTTCAGATACAGCTAAGCCATATCCCAAGAGTGAAAGAATAACCAAAATCTCCTAAAAGGGGGCATTAGGCCCTCAAAGAATAACCAAGAATCTCAGTGTTTTGTACCTGGGCAATATACAGTATCAGAGTGTGCCCCAACCTCTAAACTTCCACACCAAGCAGTGGAAGGCAGGGATGAAAACCTGGTCGAGTGGGATGGATGGCTGAGGCCTGACACTTTTGCTTCTTCTCAGAATGGAGCTGGAAATCTGAGCCCTGTCAGGACTAAGTGCTCTATTAAGAGATTTGAGTGCACAACAAATCCATGGGTCAAGAAGGACCCCAACCACCCCTCACTCCGCTCGCTTGTGGCGGCCATCAGCCCCTTCCCGTAAGGACATAGTTAAAATGACTGATGGTCAACCTTGGCCTCAGAGAACCTGTGGCCACTTTTAAGAAAATTTCAAAACAACCATCATCAAACTCAGTTACAGGCAGTAAGGATTAAACTCTTTGAGAGTTCATGAACACATGAATCTTATAAATTAAACCGGTTCTTTGGCAGCCTTCTTTCAGTTCTATTTTTGTATATCTATTTTTATGCCTCCTCTCTCTGGAGCCTGGGGTAGTAGCTAGAATTCACCCGGTGAGTAGTGAGCTTTCCCAAGTTCCCCCACTGTATGAGCTGCCCTCCACGCAGACACCCCTTCCCTGCTCTCAGCTGCTTCCTTTTGGCCCCACTTAGTAACAGGCAGAGTTGTTCTGGGTCCAGGAGACAAGACTCACCTGGGAAGCCTAGTCAGAGGAGAAGACAGCTGTGCGGTATTCTGAGGCCTGATAAGGTACATTATTACCTGATTTAGTCCTAACAGTAACCTCAAGATAAATGTTTCACAGGTAAGGAACTCCAGGCTCTCGGAGGTTAAGTGGCTTGTTTAAGCCCACCTGACAGGGCAGGATCTGACCCCAGGCCTTTGGCAGACCATCCTTGCCAGGCCCAACCGGATAAAAAAGGGACCAGGAGAGAATGGGCTCCAGGACAGTCCTCGCTCACACCAGCCCGAGTCCACCCCACCCACTGAAGGCCTGGGCAGTCCACACCCTGCGGTCACTGCAGCAAGAAAGCCTCAGGCAGGGTGTCACCCGCGCAAGTTCCCAGCCTCTCCTCATTCTGCACAGGCAGCGAAACCGAGGAAACAGTTGGCTGCAGACCCTGTTGAATAATCCCTTCCTGTATTCCCCCTGCCGGAGCACTGGCCCGCTGGCCCTGGGACAGACAGGCCCCCTCCCCTGCCAGCTCTAGAAATAGCCTGCTTGATCCAGGCCTGGGGCGCAGCCGCGGTTGGGTGGCTGGATGAGAGGTGCTCCCGTACCACACAGTCTTCACAACCCTGAGGTCCAGGTGTCGGAACACCTGTCTCCTACCGCTCCCCCTTCTCAGAACCAGCCCTTCTCTCCTGTCGGAACCACTGAACCTCAGGCAGCTTAGCTGGGAAACAAAAATTTCCCTGTCTGTCCTCTTACCACCTTTCTCCTTTAGTCCAGTTTGTCCTTGCCAGGGCATATTTCACATGACACAGTCTGAAACCTGGGGTGATAGGGACTTTGAGCTCATTACTGCCACACAAGTGCCTACAGAGGTTGGATAGTCAATCTGACTACAGACCAGAGGACTTCCGACCACAGGGCTGTATCAGCTGTGACGGGTCGTTCGTGCTGGACGTACCTTAGAAACCAGAGTCAGTTATTTCCTGGAGCACCAAGGCTTCCAAAGCCCTATGGCGTTTTCCTTTCCAGAAGCTGAGGACAGAACCTCTACCCCCAAACTGTTGAGAAGATGTGGAGGGGTAGGTCTGGAGGCAAGAGTGATTTGTGTTTTTCTTGCCTTTCAGTCACCCAAAGCAGGGATGACTGGCCCAGGAGAAAGCTCTGAGGAAGACCTCAGCTTCTCACGGCACCCACTGCGGGGCCCAGAAATGGCATATTTTACAGCTGTATCTTCCTAGAGGCCTTCTCTACCTGGAGGGTCAGAGGGCCTGCACCTCTAGGGAGTGCCTGCTGCACTGAACTTAGTCAGCCACAGGAGACACCCCCCCCCCGGGGGGGCCCACCTCTCACCTTTCACCCACCTGTCCCCATCTCTGCCACCCAATGAGTGAGCCTGAGAGCTCCTACACTGCCCATGCTGCCCTCCCTGGGTACTTGAAGCCAGGGGACCAGTGTGCACTGAAGCTTCACTAGCAGTACTGGTCACTCGGCAGGGCTGAGGTGGAGAGGGTCCCAGTGTAGGTCCCCACCTGGGTCTTGTCTAGCCACTGGCCTCTTCTGGCAAGCAGGGCATAAAAGGGCAGAACCATGGTTATGTAAGATGGGTGAACAGTATACAGAAACCGTACCATCTCTGCAACTCTTCTGTAAGTCTGAAGTTATTTCAAAATAAAAGGTTTTTAAAAAGAGGGAAAAGGGGAGGGGCCAGAGAGCATTGGGTGGGGGTGAGCACAGGCACTGCCTCTCCAGGAGTTCAGCCTTCGGTGCACAGGTGAGGTGAGTTCTGGTGCCTGCAGGTTGAGCTCCTTCTTGGAGATCTAGTGCCCCCCTGTGGCCAGCCTGGGGCCAGGCGCAGGGCCTTACAGATTGGTTTGTATACACACCAGCCAAAAGGCTAACCCTCCCAGTTCGCTGTCTAGTGTCTCATGACTCAGTAGCCGGGACCACCCTATTCACCAGTGCCAGGAGCCTGTGCCCTGGCCCCAGGGAAGCAGGGACTCTATTCCCAGAAAACTACACTTGAATTGGAGATCAGGTCCAGGGGACCCTTTACCGGCTTGTCTCTCTTGCCCCCAAACAGCCCTTTGGCACCAACCCTCAGTGTTTTCTCAGCCTCAGCCCAGGGCAGGTCCTGCAGAGGAGCCGGTACTCAGAGCTTTGCCTCATGAATTCAAGTGCAACAGAGAGAGCGAGTGGTGGTGAAAGGGGTTGGGGGAAGTGCAGGGAGGGGAGTATGAGCTACAGGTGTGACCTAGAGGCCCAGACAGTCAGGAAGGCTCTGGTGGAGGCTCCCCCTGTGCCCAACTGCCTGCCCGCCAAGCCCTGGGGTCTTCTCCAGGGTCACCAGCCTGTCCTCTAGGGCCACCAGCACACTACAACCTAGCCCACCAGACACATCAGCCAACAGCCCCAAGGCCCAGGGGTGCCATTCACAGAACCTGGTTCTGGCCAGGCGGCGGGCAAGCGGAGTTCCAGGCCGCGCAGGGGACAGGGCAGAGGTGACTTGCAAGAAATGTGAGCAGAAGCCTTAGCTGAAGGCTCCAGTTCCTCAGTCAGCCCCTTCCTGGAATCTGAAACCTTGACTTGCTCAGTGCAGACATTTTAAATGATTAATCAGGTGCTGGTAATGGACCCTTATTAGGCCCTTGCATCTGTACACAGTTATAACGCAGGAGGGCTAATAATGAGAAGCAAACAAAAAGCCTGGGGCCTCCCAGAATTCTGGGGCCTTCTTGCTCCAGGAATTAGGAAGCCGCACCTTGGCCTCTCATAGCCCCGACGAGTGATGGCACCCAGGACTGCTCTTCATTTGCTAAGACCACCACAGCCACGCACCTTCTAGGAAGTGCCCAGTGGAGATGACAGCATCGCCAGAGGCAGGAGGCCTGTAGTCTGCTCACCCAGCTGCCCTCAGCCCACCTTGAGCGTCTAGGCCAAAAGAAGCCGCCCAGCCTTCCCAGAGGTATCAGAGGATTCTGGGACAGCCCTCCAGCTGCTCAGGCCAAGAGGCAAGAAGGAAGGGGAAAACTAAGCATTTTAGAAATAAGTAGAATCTCAAGATGGCTGCAGGGTGAGTCTTGTCCCTTCCGTGCCGGCCAGAGGAGGGCGCCCAACTTGATGAGGATTCCAGCTTTCCCTGGACGTACATGTGCAGTAGGATCATTTATTACTCAGCTCGGGGCTGTGCTGGTCAGAAAAGATGTCCTAAAGGCAGTGCCACTGTGTCACCTGCTCATCAGGTAAGTATGCTGAGGGGGAGAGTGATGGGGAAAAGGTGGCCAGGAATAGTAGAGGCGACCGTGGGAGTGTAGTTTTCTCCCTGGAGGCTGAGGGGGAGAGGAGGAGGTCGGGAAATCTGCTGCTGTCCTCTTCACAGGGAGGCGGGAGGTGGGCTGGCGGCATTGGCACAGCCTCGGCCCAGGCCCTGCAACAGCTGCAGCCTTTGCCTGCCAAACCTGGGTCTTTCCCAGGCCTCCCGGGCCAGGCCCACCCTCCTCCTCAGGCCTGCAGCTCCACCTCTGCCTCATGGTCTCTTCTGTGAGTCGGGAGGCCATGTCTCCCAAGTCCCTGTCCCTTTCCCTGCTTCAGTGTCCCAAGATACCCACACCAAGGTAGAACAGTCTCGGAGCCAGCCAACCAGGTCACCTGTCCGCTCATGTGTCACTGATCAGTCATTCAGCCTGCCGTCACTCTCCAGTCAGTGCCAAGCATTGATGTGGGTTGGTCTGGAAGGGGTGAGGGGTGAGGGCTTGCTGATCTGTGTGTGGGTCCCTATTCTGAGGTCTCCAGAAGTGCAGCTGCCACTCTTCTGTGAGGGACGCAGCCACTAGACAAAACCAAACAGCCATCTCAACCAAGACCAAACCTTCTGAGGCTGGTGAGAATTCCCAGGTCCATCCCACCCAGAGCGTCCAGAAGAGGGATAGGACCCA